AGGCTGTCCACTGGGATGCAGTAAAAGAAGGGAGACAAGGAATCAAGAAAAGTGTATAAGGTGGAAGGACAGCTGGGTGAAGAAGACAGGTGTTTTGTCCATCCAGAGGACAAACATAGTATTGTTATCACTTGTCAGATTAGTTTCAGTAGCACAAGTTTGTGCTGTGGCTGTGATGGTATAACTCTGACTGTGGTCCCATCTGAACAGCAGCATGTTCCCACATTACTGATTTTTGTTTTCAGTTTTCACAAAACTTACATTTGCCTTAGAAAGCCTGTATCAATCAGTGTCTCTGTCTGTTTGAGGGGTTTTTTGTTGTTTTTTTTAAAAAAACAGAAATTACAGCTACCTTACTGGCAATGTAAGCAACATTAGCTTCTCCTCTTTTTATGTATTTTTCTTTTATTTTTTTTAATTTTTTATTGTTATGTAAAATGGAAGATCACCGTTTGCTACACATGTTAGTTTTGGATGGAGTTCAGTACCTAAACGAGGATTTAGATTACAGGGGTCACTGTCTTGTTTCAACAAGTCTTGGCAGTCTGCATGGAGTTTCCAGGAGTTTCCAAAATCTTCCAGAAGAGCTTCCACCATTCCAGAAGGTGTAAGAAAATCATCCCCTTGGTTACCATTGTAATTTCCACATAGCCCGCACATCCTTTCGGAATAGACTGGAGACAGCTAAGGAACACAAACATTAGCCTGGTCATCCTCCAGAATAGGTTACCACTGTATAGCAAGATTTTCTAAAGAGTGAACCATACACAATTTAATGATCAAAGAAATTCTCAAATACATTCCAGTTTCATTCTACTACATTCTTTAACTTCTAAAAAAAATGTTACTGTTTTGCACAGCACAGTGATAATTTCAGATGGTAACTAAAAGTGACTAGGAGAAAAATGGCTTACTTTTGTGCCTTGATCAGCACTCAAGTTTAGTCTTTTCCTATTTTTCCCCTTCATTCACATAAATGAACAGGGCAACAGCGGGGGTTGCATTTTTTAATATAGCGAGATGATTGTATTTCCAACAGTAATTTGGGAAAAGATACTGCACCTGAAACCATTTCACATTTTAAAAGAAAAATTGAAGATGAAGAAAATTTAAACAGAATGTTTTGTCACAAAACAGGGGCAATGTTGGAGGAGTTGTTTCCCTCAACATTAAGGACCATTAATAAAATAAGGAAGGACTACTACCCATAAAGCTACCTTACCTCATGCAGAGGTTCCTCTTGCCTACAGAAATGTATGACACACTAAAAGCAGCATTGCAAACAACCCACATAGCAGATGTACTTTTCACCCTGCCTTATTCTTGTTGTAAATCAAGGGACAGCTGGAATGGGACACTAAACTTAGAGGCAGACACAGAGAAATCTCCTAAGCAACAACACAAAGGTGCCAATATCTTTTATTCTAGTAGGAACGGAGAGTTTCTATTAGAATGAAGGATTTGGTACATCACCAGTACTACCAACTGTCATTGGGAGCTGACTCAGTGCCTTAATGCTACAGTAGCTCTCTGCATGCATTTAGTAGAATATTACTTTAGTCATATTGGCAGAAGTAATCAGCGAAACAGAACCAAAAAAGCTAGAAAAACACATTTTTGAAGAAAACTGGGTTTCTGTGTAATTAAAAATAAAAACATCCTCCAAAATACAACCTAATACTACCCTCCCTTCAAACACAGTGGTCAGAGAGTAAATATGGAGCACCTGAAAGGAAAAACCATTAATTATTACAGGATACGTATCCTTATTACTTCAATGGCCAAGGAAGCTACTTTTTCACGTACTCTGCAGATGGACAATGACTCTTAAAAATCCAAATTCTAATGTGTTTTTGAGTGGAAGCTCAAATCACAAATATCAAGTTGTCAAAGAAAGGGGAACCTTCTTGAGGAACATAGAAAGAAGTTTTACCAGAAGTCTGGCCAAGGTAATGGAAGTGTATCACTTCCCCCAATTGTCAGAAATACTTGGCAACAGGTCAGCCTACAAATCCAGCATAAATTAACTCTCCAAAAGCAATTAAAAAGATGCTTTAGATACCCAGTGAGGTAAGGAGCTCAGAGCAGAACTGAATAAGTGCAGACAATCAGAGAAACTTCCACCGCTTGTATGGGTAAAGGATCTGAAGCAGAAAATTAGATTTGTTTTAACAGTAAGAAAGAATTTGCCAGGCTATACGGGTCTCTGACCAGGCAGAAAAATACTTTGAATATTGAGGAAAGCCAAAACTTCTGAGATGCACGAAGGGACTGAATCGAATTATTCTCAGTCCCCAAAAAACATTCTAGGACCCTTGGAGCACAGAGATAAAGGCTAGATTGAAACAACAACAACAAAACCATGGATGCTTTTTAAAGTTATTATTGACCTTTATTCTCTGTTGTCTTTTCAACTCTTGTACTCACGTCTGAACTAGGTTTCATTAACCTTTACACTGTGACAGACATGACATTGAAGCCAGATTTTGGGGCAGGCAAGGAGAGTGCAAAAGCAATGCCATGGTTTTGAGAGGGCAGTGCTCACTGCTCAGTAGAAAACCCCAGGAAAACTTGCTTTCTTGGTAAAACTCTTCTCAGGGAGCAAAAGTACCCCAAGCAGGGCCCAGCTGCAGATCCCCTATTACACGTGGGGCTCAAAGACAGCAGGGCTGTGGTTAACCACCCATCCATGCAAACATGGCAGGAGCACGCAGGTACACAGGTCCATAGCCATCTAGCATCACTCAGGAGAACATTGCCCTGACTTATCACCCATAGCCTGCAGGTCATCACACCAGGAAGCAACACCACAGGCAGACTCATGCTCCTGAGGGAGCGAACACACCCTCAGACACAGCACTCACAGTTCCTGAGACCTACTGATCGAAAGAAAACAGCCTCTTGTATAAGTAAAGAGGGCGATAGATGGCTTAGCTAGAGAAGCTGTTATGGTTTATCAGCTATATCAGGAGACTATTCCACAGTCAATACTCTTCCCCTGTCCCCTCACAGGCTTTTCTGCTCTGCAAATCATTCTGCAGCTTATAACACACACACAGTGGTTTACTTAAACCGTTCTGTCGTTGCAGATAGACTGCTTCCCTTACAGCTGTTTTAGGTATTTCTACACTCTGCTGCAGTCTGCAGCACAGACAAACCCTAATTGTTAATCAAGGGTGACTTTGAACATTCCTCACAGTAGAAGGAGCATGCAACATATCTTCTATGAGTTAATTGATTTTTCCTGGAAATTATAAGTAACTGTGTCCCTAGAGCCATATTCTTCCTTTATTTTAAGTCATACAAATTCATTGTTTTAAACAGGACAGTCAAAGCAAATGAAAGCAAAAATCCAGTTTGGAAGGTATCTGCTGAACAAAACACAAAACTATTCATGGTTAATAATGGCTGTCATTGCACAAAAAAATAGAGAAGAAAAAAAAAGCTACCAAGCTGCTGTAGCATGAAAATGTTTGTTTCTAGAATACAAAAGGACCTGTATATTACTCTGGGGGTAGCAAAAGAGAATGGCATTTCTTACATGCAACACAAAGCAATTTCTCACTTCAGACAAGAAAATCTTTGTACATGTTTGGGCGGGACAAGAGAGGGGGACAAAAAAGGCAGAAATAGAAAGAAAGGGTACCTTCACTAGGAGTTCACCATGACCATCCCAGTCAATCTGTAAATCTTCCCCATAGGTAAGGTGAATTGAAGTCCTCACCGTGCGCTGGATACGGAGGGCACCTTAAGACAACCACAAAGTGTCAGTCAGTCAAGCCAGGATGCAGTGTTTCATTGCCTGGGACTGCTGTGTCGTGCTGAACAGGTCAACAGAGTGGCTGCCACAGAGCAGCTGCCACAGACAAGGGGGCATGCAGGTCTACCAAAGCAAGGGGTGCCAGCAATGCCCACTTCATACTTTCCAAGCTCTGTGCCTGCTCAGCAGTTTACATCTGCATGAGCTTGTCCATAGGCACTCAGGAGCACTAGAAGACAATTATCTGTGCATTCTGTGAAACCTCAGGCATTAACTGTGACATTTTGCAAAATAACTGGAGGATTTCAAGCTTCTGGATTAAAAAAAAATAATTATTTTACAAAGCATAGACCAATAGCGGTTTTCAAGATCACATCTCGCAAATCCAAACAAGCTTAATTCTCCTGGTTTTAGACGAGCTGATGTGTCAGCTGCATGAGGAGAAGTCAAAATGACAGAGCTCCTAGAAGAAGCTGCAAGTGAGAATTTGGTATTGAAAACAGTTTTTGATTGAACTGGGCTAAGGCATGCCAGAAAACACTAGTAAGTAGGACCAGCTCAATGACTGGCCAGAGTTAGCCTATGCGAACACACCTTGTAGCAAAGGGATCTGTATGTCTTGTCCATTCAGTGAAATTCCTCCTCCATGTTTCATTTTAATGAGGCTGTTGTCCATATCTCGGATTCGGACAGAAGCTGAGCGAGTGCATACGGCATCAGGATCATCTGCACACTACAGAGAAGGTAAAATTTGCCTCAAACCTGAAGCTTTCACTTTATTGGTGACTTAGCCCCAGGCCCCCAGAAGGCATTTCGGCATCTAATTTGGGAGGTGTTAAGTGTCTCAACAGTTTTATGGGCCTAGCTTCTGCATCCCACAAACACTAGACCAGAAGCCTTTCTTCCATTATCCTGCTAATCACGCACCAGGAGCAAGCCGCGGCTCCTCCTTTCAGAGCCTGGAAAGCAATCCATGGGCGTTACACCAGACCCTCAGGAGCGGCCCGTGTCAGTGACCAGCATCCAGCCTCACCAGCTGTGGCAGAGGCAGGAAGGACATGCTGCCCCACATAGCCCATCAGCTTGGGAAACAGCAGTTCACACTACCCCAGACTCGTGCTATTTATTTTCCTGGCTGTGGGTTACGCAGATGAGGAACAGGCATTGCAAGCCCCTGGGTCTCCTCCCTGGTTTCGAAAGGGGAGTTTCAGTGGAAACTCGTTCTGCAAGTTCTCAAGTACAGATGACCTCAGAGCTGCTTGATCAGTGCTTCCTAATGCAGGATACAGACGTAGACGGTGCGTAGGACCGTCACACCCCATTTCTCCAAAACCTGTGACTTCTCTGTTGCTTGTGCCCTACAAGGCAAGCTGATACTCCACTCCTGTCAGTCTCCTGACTCCACTGTACTTCAGTTCCTCCATCCCTGCCCCTTTTCTTCTCCTCTGCTTGATTCAGTACCCTTTTCAGTCTCCAGGTTAGTTCACCTATTTGCATGCACAACTGGTCGAGAAATTTCATGACCAGGTTAACCTCCCTGTGACACACCGTCCAGGGTCCCCTTCCCTTCCTGTGCTGGCCTGGCTCCCTTTCCTGTCTCCAGCTGTCTCTGCTTGCTGACCTCCAGCTGCCTCTCTCACATCCGTCAGAGGAGACAGCAAAGAAAGTCAGGAGCTGCTGACTGGCTAGTGAGCAACAGAAATCACCAGCCAATATGACTTAATGTCAAGCAAGTAAAGGTACTAATCTGCTAGTGCACCCTACTCGGTGTCTGAGGAAACGTCTTTTCCCTGGGCATTAGCAAGGCACCAGCCTTCAGGGTGCTTTGCAAGGGGCGCACCCTCCTCTGCATTTGTTTGTTCAGCTGGCAAAGAGGCAGTGAAATTCTCCAATCTCATTACAAATCTCAATCTCCAGGTAGGCTCCTGGGAATGGCAGCAAGGAGAAGCAAAACACTTATTAACTAAGGAGGAAGACTGCATCTGTTATTTAAACTAATTATTTCATATGAAAATTACTTTTGTTGGCCTGTGCATCTGCAATTCATATCATACCCCCACAGCCCTTCCCGCTCTCTGAAGAGCATGCACAGAGGCACACAGGCACCAGCCAAGGCTGCTATTACCTGCACCGTCTCGATGATCACAGAAAAGGAATTTTCCACACAGTCCTTGGCAAATAAGTACTGACAAATTCCACTGAAGGTGAAATACTTGTTGTCAAAGCTTTTGAAATGGGACTGGCCAGTGACAGAGCATTCTCCTGAAAAATGCAGAAAGCCATTAATCACCCCAGTGCCAGTTGCAAGCAAAATCCTGCTGGTCCCCCCCAAGCCACCAAGGGGGAAAAGCAGCCCAGTGGAGCTGGTTGCACAAGGCCGAAGTTCCCTGCAGACCAGAAAGCACTGGTGAGATGCTTATCTCACTGTTTATTCCTGTAAATCATTAACAGTGGTATCAGCGACGCAGACAAAACCTGGGGAATATGGTATAAATCGCACTCAAGAGCTGAAATTCAAACTTACGGAAAAGCCTGTATAATGTTTCAAACAGAGTGTCACGAGGATGCCAGCGAACGGCTCAGCTCTCTGCACTGATGCAGATTTGATTCTTCTGTAGTATATACCTCGGTGGCTCTGGAAATTCAGTGCAGTCACTCAAGCTCTCCACAGGCTAGGTCATACCCTAAGTGATGGGCGTTGATGGCACTAACCAATTTTAAACACCAGCCCATGCTCTCTTTTATGTGGAAACTAAGTTTCCTTTTTTATACAACAGGGAAATTGAGGCACAGAGAGTGGAAGCAGTAATGCCTAAGACTGGCAGAGCTGGGAAAGACACACAGGATTACCCAGCATTAGTCAGACACTCCATACACTGGGACATGCTGCCTCTTCACCCCTATGTAGGAGCTCAACATCTTGACATAACACACTTTAAATCTACTTTTACTTAGCCCAGTGGGGCACATCTGCAACCATGGAGCTGGCTACAGGATGCGGGCATTTTTACAGAGTTAAAAAATCAAAATTTGCAACAAGACTCATTGGACTCTCACTGCTGCTCTGCTCTTCTTCTGTAGAGGTGCCTCATTATCAGTCTGTGTTCCAGTTGTGTCTTGGCAGACTGTGAGCACCCTCTTTGTCTCTCTACTGGTGTTTTTAGAGCATTGCAATATGTTTTTATGTAGGCGACAGTGTCTGAAAGCCTCCTTCACAATGGCCTCCTCGAACACAGTCCCTAAAAAGTGTTGAATCCTTTGTTGGGCTGCTTTGAATACCAATAAGTTATTCTAACATTAAAGTAAAAATACCTTATCAGAATAAAGAGCTGGAATATAATCACTGCTGGAGTTCTTCCAAGGGCAGAATTTATACTGGACTTTACTCTGAATCATTATCTTAATTAACTAGCATAAAGCTAAAAATAATTCTATAGTTACAATAGCTACATCTAAAGTCCTTCCAGAATAGTGTGAAAGTTTGTCTTGCCCATGCTTCTACTACCAAAAGAGGCTATTTAAACATATCAACATCTTAAAATAATTTGGTAAGTCGTGGCTTTTCATTTCCAGGAAGGCAGTATTTAGATGCCACAACTGGGATTTAGTATCCTGTTATGCTAGGGTTGTTGCAAACACATAGGGAGGATCCAACTCTACAGAGCTCACAAAGTAATTCTTTCCTGTGAGAAGACTATAACACTTAGAGATGGTCCCATGGCAAACGAGGTGGGCAGAGACCTCCTTGCCCAGAACAAAAGTCAGATGCTGGACCTGCACTGGCAATTCACTGACAATGGGTGAAGAAAGGTTAAGTGTTACAAGCTGGTAGGTGAACCCCATGAGTTATTCTCTCTTCACTGCCTTAGAGTCCCACATAAGACCTGTTTAAGGAACATCAAGTGGAAATTTCCCTCTTCAACATATTATGCAGTGTTAACTGTCTCAAACCAGCCTGTGCTAAAGCACAACCTCACAAATTCTGAGGATTCTCAGCCTTGCATGGCTTTGATTTGCCCTAAGAAAAGTCCAGCACTCACTGGATGTTTGTCATCCCCTAGCAAGTAAGGCAGCTTGGTATTAGCATACTCTACCCTGGAAATCCTACTTTCTGTTCAAGTGAACTTGGATAAAGGTAAAACACATGTTATTCTACTCAACTTCAGAGTCAACTAACTATCAGATGTGGAAAACAGATTTAAAGAAAACTAGGCATAACCCACCATAGTGCATACAGTTTGATTTCCAGGGCGTTCTCTGCAACTAGGAACCAAGAGGATGGGTTTGCAGCATGGAAAGCTAGGGACTGCTACCCCAAGACAAGTCCCAGCCCTCTGGCATTGCTCCTAGAAAGGAAATTTCTTTCCTGCAGCAAAGCCTCTTCTTATGGGTCCCTCTATCTACTCCATTTGGTGTAATGCAACCCACGAGATTTGAAACCTACTGCCTTCATAATTAATTTAATTATGATAGCAGCTTGAGAGCTTCTTGCTAGTGCTAGCCAGCTATTGCTAGTTGGCTGACACAGCAGTGCCCTCTGAATCACTGCCTCCAGCTAGGTACCGAGCTTTATCACCAAGCTTACAACTAGGCAAGTCGTTCCTACAATATAAAAGAAACCTTTCCTGGCAAACAGGTTTGTTAAGAAATAATGGAACTACCTTCAGCTTATGTGAGTCTAAGTACATAAACTTTCTGTGACACATGATTTTAGAAATATTTGTTGCAAAAATAACTAACCAACAATAAAAATATGCCGCAACATTGCTTCAAATAAAGACAAAACAGGACAAGTAACAATATAAACTTGGCTACTGTTCCTATCAAGGACTGCTACTTTAGGAGGCTTTGCTGCCATCCCATACTGTCTCAGTACAGTTTGCAGACATTAGCAGGTACACATGCAACAGCTGCACTTTACAGCCTTCAGTCTTGTACAAGCCTAGCTGAAAAGTGACTTGGATATATTGGCAGAAGGTACAAAAATAAGGCGGCTTTCTTTTTGACTTCTGCTCATTTGACATAGCTTCCCAACTCAGAAAAAGGCAGCAATGCTATATTCCCTCTTGCAGAAAGCTGTATATCAACATGGAGTTGAGGATAAAAATTTGGACCACATAGTATTCATAGCAGCCCAGAAAGCAAGGACATTAAGAGCTATAACCTAGGTAAAAAACAAAGTTAGGAAAAGATCTTGTTTGTAAATACGTTACTGCCCATTAGCTAAAAGACATAACAAATCAGCTGTGTCCTTGATTCTTTGTTTTAGACAGTTTTTCCCTACACTTGGAGAGATCTCTAGTGAACACCTCAAGCACAGGGCTTCTCACAGTCCTGCTTAGCATAGCTTGTTAAAAATGTCATTTCTACATTGAACAATTGCATAACCCCCCCTTTTTTTTTTTACTGCTGACACTTTGGGGCAAGAGCTCTTTCAGTCTAAAGCAGGAGGAAATGGAACATTGGTGGGTCAGGCAAGCTTAACGTTAATAGAAAGACAGACTTCTTGATGACCATTTTAAGACTGTTGTAATTCTCCTAATTTGTGAGGATTGCACAGTCTCATCTCAAAAAATCAAAACAAAACAAAAACACCAAACCCAAAAGACCTGCTCTCTCTTTTCCTGTCCTGCCATAACCCCAGTCTCCTTTTCATCCCTTCCACTCTCAGTTCCCAAAAGCAAGGAGAACAAACAAGATAAAGAGCTGTGCACTTTCCCTGCAGACTTCTACGCACAATGCAAGCAGAGTCAAATGTTGTTTCAGGTCAAGCAGGCCTTTCCATGGCTGAACATAGTGCAGGAACTGAGACAGGGGATGGGCCACAGTACTAGCAGGAGGAAATAAGGAAGGCGGACTTTGCTGGCTAATGCACAGCATGGAAAGTCACATTCCCCATGCAGGCAAAAAACTGGGACAGCAGCCACCAGTACCAGTGAGTTTGGGAGGCAGGGTAGGAGGAAGAGGAGTAAGAACACCTGCAGAGCTGCCACTCCAGTCTACCACCACCCACTGAAGGCAGTGTGGCCACCTTCTCCCTGAGACTGTAGCTCCTTCACCTGTAACACGACCGTTAGGGCCCAATCCCATGGGGTATTAAGAGTGATCCAATCTACTCCCAGTCCTTGAAATTGTCCCATCAACAGATGTATGCTGATTCAGACAATCAAATAGGGAATGGTGCCTGGTCAAAGAAACCCAGCAGCGTTCCTCTACCTAAAAGCCAGTCCTCTGAACATACAGAGCCTTATATCTTGGTAAACTAGTAATCAAAAGAGGAACTATTCTTCTCACTAAACAGGATATTTCATTGTTACACATAAACCATATAGCACAATGTCTGGCTTGTCTCACAAAAAGAACTTAGAAGTACGATCCCATCTGGATTGCACTGGAGCAAGCAAGTAAGAACAAAGACAGATACACTTTTTGTCTGGAAAAAAATATAAGTGGGTGTAAGTGGGAGGGATGTAGGCAAGGCTCACTTGTCAAAATCTGAAAAGAGTAGAGCCAACATACCTGGGCATTCCCCATTGCTGCAGATCCAGGTGCCACGTCGACAAATGCTGAGAAACATATCATGACAAGTTAGGCAAGAGTACATGAATTCAAATCTTCTGTTGCAACTTTGTCACAAATACTTGAAACATGGGCCCCTGTTTCAGGAAAATTAGACCAGTCCCCAACATCCTTTCCATCCCCCACAACCCCGTTTCTTAATACATCCATCCATTCTTACTATCATACAGCAGCAACTGCTGGTAATAAGAGCTGGAACGGTTGCAAAACTCAAGAACTTCTGCTTTCCCCTGCCAAAGCTCTGTGTTTTCAACTATATTCCACTGATGTGGAATGAGTTCTAAATGCAGTTCTCAAGGTATGTCTATTAATACAACAGAATCATAGGAGAAAAAAGACTGAAGGAACCTCCATGAAAATCATATACTACAACTCCCAGCTCAAAGAAGGGATCTTCCAAGCTAGATGAGGTGGCTCAGGACTTTGTCCATTTCAGTTGAGAAATCTCCAGGATGAGGTCGGCCCCTCTGAGCAGCTGTCCCAGTGCTGCACCATCTCAGGGGAAGAATTTTTTTCTTACGTCTAAACGGAATTTCTCCTTCTGCAACTCGTGTCAATTGCTTCATGCTCTTTCACTCTTTGCCTCTGAGAAGAGTTTGGCCCTGTCTTCTTTACAACCCCCCTTTAGGCAGTGAAAGTTCCCCCATGAGCCTTTAAACAAATCTATTTCCCTTTGCTTCTCCTCACGTCATAAACTCCCCTGCTGTGATCATCTCCAGTGTCCTCCATAAGATTCTCTCCAGTCCATAATCCTCTCTCTTGCAGTAGGGGCCCAGCACTGACCACACAACTCCAGTCACAGCCTCACAAGTTCATCACAGGACAGCAATAATCCCTTTCCTTCACTGTCCAGCCAGACTTATGCTAAAGCAGACCTTCATCACTCTGATGGCACACTGTCAACTCAAGTTCCTCTTGCTTGGTTTCCCTTTCTGTGCAAGTTGCAAGGAGATGAATTGTCTCTGCTTTAATGTCTTCAGGTGGTGGATTTAGAGCCATCCCACATTGGCACTACTAGTAACAAGTAACGTGCACTGATAGTGATTGAGATGGCTGTCATTCTTGGGTCTGTGAGATACCATGCCAGACAATCCTAAAATCTCCAAAAGCAATTGTTTCAAGAGATGCTAGATTCTTCTTATTCCTTTCATTATCTCAGCCCTTGAAAACCATTAGCGGGGAGTCAGTTTATTGAGGATGGTAAATGCAGAGCCAATGGAATGACATTCTCCACAGCAGTATCAAATTTGAGTACAGGAAGCATTTTCTAACAATACAGCCCATCAGGCAGCACGGATCTCCCAAGAGCACTAAGGTTGAACAATGTGGCCAAGCTCAAAGCTTCAGACAGCTCCAGGGAAAAAGACAAAATGCTAATGTCATTGTTATGGTTCATATTTTGTGACACATGGTGCAGGCAATTAAAAACTTCTGATTAATAGTGATGATGCATAGACCAACTTTCTTCTGCATATGGTGGCCCTCACTGAGTCTTTCTTCTGTACTCTAATTGGAAAAATCTGGGCACAGAGTTGTCTGAATTCCTTCCACGAATATGTTCACACTTACACAAACCCAGATCAGGAATACATTACTCGTTCTTCCCCTTCAGGCTGGCATTCATGAGCGAAAGAAAAATCGTGAGCCGTGCAGCTGGGAAGATTCATTAGCTTTGAAAGAAGTTCCAAGGATGTGGCTGAACTAACTCCTCACAGAAAGAAATGGGGTTTAGAGGTTAAATAATGTAGGAAGTCAAAACAAAGACACCACCGTTGACACTAACCAGACATGGGAACCTGCCAGTCTGTCTTATCCACAGGAAACAGGTAGTTCTCTACTGTTTGAAGGAGTATGACCCTCACATTGTTCTATCAGATCAAATATCCTTTTAAAAGCGGAGCTGATTTTGTCTGTGTGAACAGCTCATTTCTTGGAAGGGGCTGGCATTTCGAATAAGCGAGCAGAAGTTTTAAAAAAGGAGAGAGAAGCTACTAGAAAGATCTATAACAGTCACTAACCCATGTGCATTACCTATCCAGAGCAACAGCAACCATACCAGAGAAACACAGAGTTTACCATGAGTTGCAGTCCTGGGAGATGGTGAAGCCAGGAGGATAATGTTTCCCAGAGTGGATACAGGAACAGTCAGAGCTTTCAATGCAATGTTCACCATCAAGGAGCTTCCCCTCTGGATAGATGAGGTAGTAGCAAATACACATGCCACACACACACAGGGACACAAACATAAATATGATTATTTTTTCTAGTTCTTCATATACTTTGGCAAGACTTCATATGCATTATTATCCATAGTTAGTCACAGACAGCAATAAAAAAGAATGAGGCTTGCCAAAAAGCCTCATGGGGGCCGGTGTCTACTTTCCTTCTAGCACTGCCTCTCCCTCACATGTGCTGAACTGAGCTTTTCTGGTGCTCCTAGAAGAGGTCATTGCTTAGCGAGTCCCCAAGACCAAAACACACATATTGGAACATACATGAGTCAAATACAGGGAGGACAATCAAGGTTGATCAGAGCTGCTCTAGAAACATGACTGTTGGAAAAACACATGCATTTCACTGACTGCAGTAAAGAATGCTTAGACAGGTTTTGTATTTGTTGCAAGAGAACAGAAGAGGAGACAAAGTAGGGAATGAAGAAACAAAGTTGAACGCCATAAAAGTCTAGCAGACAGGGTCTGAGAAAAAGAAACATTATCAGGTGGAGCTGTGGTTTCTCAACTTCTGCAGAAGCAAAAAGTGAAAGAGGCAGCTTCCCAACTTGGATCCAGCTGCTGAGGTTTCCATATTACACAACTATAACTGTTGCCACAGAGTGCTAGCTTTGAACCTCCAGTAAGTGAGAAACTGACAGCTAAATGGGAAACTATGAATGCAATAGTGACTCCTCAAACAAGGCTGACATTGTCATCACTGCCTTGTTTTGGAAACCAAATTGTGTTCTTAGTAAAACTCCACCACGTTTTGTATCTTGTACAGGGAAACAGTAAATACTTCTGTGCATTCATACAAAGTCCAGATTTGAAGGGTGTAATACAGTGCTATTAAAAACAAAATCAACAACAACAAAACCCACAACAAAAAACAGCTAGAAATGGAAGCATATGGAGCTTTGCAGCCAGGAATAAAACTCTCCTCCTGCAGTTGTCTTGAGTAAAATAGACAGAAAAGGAAGACAGTGCTGGTTGGGCTGCCTCCCTTAAGCCAATCAAATCTCCTGTACTGACGATTCAATAATAAGTGAAATAATTCGTCTAAAATCATGAAGATCTTTGGAATTATAGTGCAAGCTCTATACATACTGTTTTTGTAAGAAACTCCTTCAGTATATTCTCTCTTACTTTTTCCTCTAACTGGATGCTTCTAACCAAAAGCAATTCAGAAGGAATCTAGATATGTCAGTAGTAAGTGGCCCCCCACCAAGAAAGAAAGGCAATTCTATAGATGGTGCTGATCTTCACAGAAACATCTACTTTCTGGTTGGGTCTGAAAAATGGCCCTTTCATGGAGTAAGCATACAGGCACTATAGAAACTGGTTTATTCTCGGGCATGGTCCCAGAAAAGAGAAGTGTTTCTGATTTCAGGAAAATTTAAGGGAAGACACAGCTTTCCTTCTTCTAATAAAATAGGTAGCATCATTGCCAAATGTTTCTCTGTAAATAACCCAGTAAATAAATTACCAGGGCAGCTGCAGCCATCAACACATTGTCCATGACACACTTCATTGATATTCAGGCTCTGGCAGGTTTTGGCACAAGGGGACACGCATTCCTTATACTCCATGCCAACTGGACATCTTGGCCCTGAAACAATTAACAGAAATTAGAAATGCAAATTCCTCAATAACTCTTAAAAAAAGAAATCTCTTAATTATCAAAGGCTGAACCACAGAGACACCAAAAAGACCATATCCTCTCCAATCAATGATTTCTTTTTCAGAAGCAGAACATTTAAGAAAGATTTGATTTTCAGTTTGCTGCAATACCATCATCTGTCAGGTTGTATAGCAAATACTTAAAGGCTAAAGCCAATTTCTTTTCTAATAAATCGGGTCTTAATAACTGAAATCAAGCGCATTAAGAACAATCAAGCATGCAATAATACCTAAGTCATTTGGATAGACATGCACATTCTGTACCTTTAAGCTGTGCAGTTACTTCACTCATTTGTGAAATTACACTGTTTCATGTTTCCAGAGAAAAGTGGGAGACAGTTAAGATTCTGAAATCCCATCCTTCTTCTTCCAGAGAACTGCCAGCACAGCATAACAGCTATGCTGTGGTATCTTCACTGTTGTCGTTATCCTGGCTAGGCCATTACACAAGCACATACTATAGACATTCCTTCATTTTGATGCATAGACATACCATGCAAGATTGCATGGGCATGGAGTGGGAAGAAAAGATTAGACCCTGCCCTTTTCCAACAAAATACAGAGGTGGGAGGGTAACAAAGGAGCGGTCTTGCCCTCTGTGGCTCCAGGACTTGGGCACCAGCTTGCACTAATACCGTGTGCCCAGCACCAGAGCTCTCCCAACACAGCAGAGTGTTTCATGCCTCCAGCACAACTATCATCACTGTCTCCTGAGAAAGCATCATAGCATTGTTGAAAATTAAGCTCCTGATGCGGCAGCAGGCCACCTCTCTTCTTCATGACTCATAAAAAAACATGGTTTGTGAAGTCAAGGGTTGGACATGAGCTCTTAAAACTCATAGGAACAGAGAGGGTTTAATTTCATTCATGGCTTTAGTTAGACTTACAGACAGCCTTAGCAAAAATGGGTTCTCCAGCTTGCACCCTGAGCGAGAAGACAAGTTTTCATCAGATCCTTTTTATGTCCCAATGGAAAGGTAACAAATTACTGCCTAAAATAAGACTCTCCTCTGGTGTACAATCCCTTGAACAAATGGTTGGCAGTATCCTCCTGCCCTAAACATAATCTGAACGCACAGTTTTCTTCAGTGGTGGCCAACAGCAGAATATCTCTACCAGAGAAGAAACTGTTGTCAGCACAAATTAGTCAGTTACCCCATTATATCAATTTACACTAACATCCTGAGAAAATTGTCCTTCCAGTGTAATGTAAAAACATGAGCAAAAATCATTGAAAACATTATATTAGAGGATTGATTTTATTATTATTATTCATTTGTGTGCTTCTGTGTTTGACCAGGATTCTCCAGTGGAGGTATATGTTTATATCAACAGTGAGTGCAAACATGACCTTTCCTCTATAAACGCAATCCATCCCAGTCAAGCTACGTAATTCCTTGTTGCAAAATCTTAGCAGAGGTGCAATCAGGATCTCTAACCTAGGCAAAATTTGGCTTAAAAAAAGGCAACATCTCAATTTCAATGTAATTGGTTCAAGCAAATAAAGGATGAAACAACAGTCTTTACCAAAAAAACGTTAAGGACAGCCTTTCACAAGGATGCTGACTTACAAGTAAGGCTGGATAACATGACACATCTGAACCATATGTCAAATAGCTCCTATACATCCTAGTCTATACCTTGGTGTATCAAATAAGTCTTCATTGACTTTGCATACCATGGTGGGACCTGTTACAACTCAGGATCTTCTTCATAAGTGGTTCAAATAACCCTGCCTTAGGGATAACAACTTCTAGAATTAGGTGGATGATGGAGGGCTGAAAGGGGGAGCAAGCAAAGGCACTTCAGATAAATGAAAGTGACAGGCACTTCAGATTTTAACCTGCCATGCCTGAATCAACCTGAATTAACATCCTAAAAAAGTACCAGTTGCTTTTAGCTGCAGCACACAACCTGCAAGACAGGTATGATCTCATTTGGGATCAGCAGCCTAGGAATAATCCTGTCAGCTTACTGCATGAGCTCTCTTCAGGCCACCCATCCAAAATCACTCCTTCGTGAGAGCAGCTTCTTGCATAATCAAGGAATACTGAGCAGTGACAGTCCATGCCCTGGGTACAGGCACAGATATCTCTTTCACAGAAATCGATATATGGCTCTGGATCAACTCGATGGTGGCACCGGGAGAAGGTCAAAGATGTTCTTAGCAGCTGGCAGGTTTCCATGATGCCCTGCACAATAAGTGAGGAGCAAAGGTAGAAAGAGAGAGAGAAAAAGGGACAAAATTAGTTACTATAGTCTCAAGAAGAAGGGGGAAAAAACAACTTTTCTAAACACAGTCACCACTGTTGTTAAACAACATTATGGTTGTTATTTAACACCAGCATGTAGTTAAATAACATCATAGTCAAGAGCTAGTAGTGAGCTACATCCATTTATTCACCACATCCATATATAACATACTGATTATTATAAGTTTCATATAAGGAATGTTTCACACAGAAACATGTCAGTCAATCAGTCAGCAAAGGGAGGGAAGCAAAGAAGTGCTTCCTACCCAGTGAAGAACCAGATGGCATATGGAGTACTAGGAAGACACACACAGCAAGTGAGGGTAACTTATAATTTGGGTACGTAGGAAGAAAAATGACCAGATCATATTTTGGATAATGATGGAAAAGAGTAAGTTTCAGAGTAAAAGATCAAGTCTGACTAGAATGCAAGGAACCAAATTTGTTTCCCACTTCTGGCCTCATGTTCCTGTCGCTCCTGCTGGCTTGTCCAATGCATGACAGGTCAATTTAACTCAGATAAAAGGCAGAAAAATAACCCAGGGAAGAAAAGCAATTTGTTCTGCTCTTCGTGAGTTAAATCAGCATGGTGACAGCTAATGTAAGGAGAGGACTCCACAGTGAGATGAGGGGGAGGGTACCAGCACCTCTCCTTTCAGATGGCAGCAAGCTGAAATGAAACTTACCTATACGTGAAAAAAAACCTAAGGAAAACTTAGTATATGGCCAAGTTCTCCAAGGAAGGCTCCCAAATAGACTTTCTTTTATGTATGCATTATGTCACAGCTCAGTAATTCTGAGGTCCCCAGTGAAACTTTCTGAAAGGATGACACTGAGTTTAGGTAAGTGGAAAAACAATTTTATGATACAACCCTAGCACAAACAGTTAAAGCTACTTATTGTCAGTGTTTTATATAAGCAGATGTAACCACGCTGTATATCTCAGGTGTTACGCATAGTGCTGAGGGGTGATGGGGCATGTTCTTCAGGGTAGTTCACAGTAATGGTGCATTTCTCCTGAATACCTTAACAAGTACCTGAGGTGACAGCACATACAAGTTGCTGTGCTAAAGGTGGAGGGGGGGTGGGGGGCAGGGGGGAGAAAGAGAGAAAGAAGTCTTGTTTTCATTTTTTGGGAGATGAAAAATGGGGAGCAAAAAACCCCACAGAGTTCAGAGGACATCTAGACGTCTTCTCTGAATTGCAGATGGTATACCTGCATAGGAAAACTGCTGAGTAGAAAAGACTTTTTGCTAAAGGGCGTTTTATGCAGGTGATCAGCTAAAGCTAGTACATGTCTGAACCAAGAGAGACCTTCTTGCTTACGAAAACAAACCAACCAGAAATGTCTGGCCCATTGGGAATATATTCAGAGTTTAGCAAAGTGCTCAGTGAACAACTACATACAGAAAGAGGTTTTGAGCTTTCTGAGAAAGGCCTCAGGGAACTCAAAGCAATGCTAGCTGAGCGCTATTAGAGAGTTGAACATGATTGTCCTCCAGCAAATGAGCTCCAGCCTGGAATAAATCTGATGCCCAGATAACAGCCACCATGCTGAACCAGCTGGAAAAAAAAAGACTAGAAGGAAGCGAGCAGGAACTGCATAAATGGTGGCTGCCACTGCTCTAAGACTACGCAGAAGTACAAGAAAGTGGAAAAAGTGCCCTTAGGGTGGAAGTAACAACAGAAGCAGCCAAAAAAGCTATTAAAGCAGCACTTCGAGATGAAACTGATATAACCGAAAGTGAGCTCAGAGCCATTCAAAGGGTAAACAGTGCAGCAACTTCTGAATCAAAGCCTTGATCCAGATACTATCAAATGCAACAGAAAACCAGTATATGCTACAAGCCCATTTAGGGGCTGTGTTAATAAGTTTTCTTAATAAGGTTGTTAAAAAGGTAATAAAACTCAACTGTTATGTACAATGGAACTCGGACTTTGTATATTCCACTAAACAGCAACACTAGTAGAAACAATCTTTTATGACCATGTTTATTACATACCAGTAAATGTCAGATGTGAAAGAGACTTTAAAAATAAAGGAGATTCCACACACACAAAAAAATAAAATTAACCCCCCCTTTTTTTTTTCCCTATAGTGTTCTTTGGTCTTGGTCTTGTTCAATAACAACATACCTAATGACTGAGTTCTAGCTGATTATCAAGAAACCAAGCGATATACGTTAGAAAGCAACAAACAGTTAACTTTCTCTATGTAAACGTTTTCTTGCCATTCAAATCACTTCAGATTTTCCAGTGACTTTATACAAGAAAATATAGTTGAAATTTTCCCATCTTTTAGACATATCTCAACTATTGTGATGAATTAATGGACATAAGCTGAAATATGGGTAAATTCAAATAGATACAAACCAAAAAAATATTTTCACCATGAGGATGGTCAAAGACTGGAACAAGTTTTCAGAGAGGCTGTGGAACCACCACCTTTGGAGCTATCCGAAATGTGAGTGGACAAGGACCTGAGCAACTTGACCTAGGATGGCCCTGTTGCAAGCAGGGGGTTGGACTAGATGGCCTCCAATGATCCCTTCCAAATTAAACCATTCTGCAAATTACTTTTATTTTCTCTCCTTTCTTTCTTTAAAACTCGATGGTTCAGGCTGAACAAAGACAGGTCCTTGTTCTTTAGTTTAGAGGACAACACACATACATGGTGAGCACCAGATATTGGCAGTCTCACCCACTGCTGTAGTGTTCCTGCTTATGCAGCAACAGTCCTGGAAGTTTTCTTTGCAGACAAAGAAACATCTAAAACCAACAGACCAGGGAATGAAGCCTCAGGCTGAAACAGTGCTTGGAGTACAGGTGGTTGTAAGATTAAAACTAGCAGAACTGACTGCAGTATCCAAAATACAGGTGAAGGTCTTGAAACTTCTCCCTTGATTTCTGAATGAGTTCTATTTTAAGTGTTTCTTTAAATGGGTTGGCGGTGTCCTGGCACTGACAACCCTTAGTGACCACAAACTTGCTGACCCAGTCCCACCACACAGAGCCGTAGGTGGAATTTTGTACATTCTTCCAATTTCTGCAGAGTTGCCTTCTGCTGCTGCATGAACGCATTTGTCTATTGCTTAGCAGTTGCCATTAAAGAGATACAACTTAAAAAGTAACATTAGAAACCAGAGACACCCTCTCATTCCTTTGAATTTAAACCCTATGGTATATAGATACACAGAAGTGTTTCTCCAGATCATTCAGGAAGGGTATATTTTGGTGCCATAACTGGATATAGTATAATAGGATATATTTCAGAATACATCTTCTTTTGGTTCACTCATCAAAGGGAGAATGATTTAGTCTCCCATCTTTCCAAGTAAAAGGCACCCAAAGCCAATATGTTTAGTACACTAAATGCTGGCTGTATGCTTGAGCAAACAATAACAACTGACAGAAGTCACTTCACTTGGATACTGATTCTGATAATCTGTATATTTCAGGAGCAGAAAAATGAGATTTTAGATATAGTGGGCCTTATCTTCACCCCTAAAATGTGTTATAGTATTGTACATCCACATCTTTGCTGGACTTGCTTGCGACCTCTACTACTACAAATTATGGTCCAAAAGTTGATAATTTCTCTCACTTGCTTTTGGATCTGGGGATAAATGCGATTTCTTCATTGCATAGGGAAGTACTCCATGGGATATGAGTGGGACTATTTCTTACCAATCACAGCAAAAGCTGAATTTCAATGAAAGCAGAAATCAGCTGACTTCTAATTTCAGTCGTTTTCACATCTAACATGCTATAGGTATGGTTTCCTAATAAGAAAGAAAAAAATGACAGAAAACAGTGGAGTGTGGCCTCCATGCACCATTTCTATTAGAGGTGAAATAATATAGGAAATAAAGGTAATGTCTAAGACCGCATAAATCAACTGTAATGCTTTGTTTTCAAGGCTGCCTCATTACCACAGTTACCCACATCACTCCATTTTATACGTCAAGATCCATCTTACCAATGCTGTTAGTCATCTGAAAGACTATTAGATTGCAGTACTTCATTGAACAGGCAGCCTAAATCATCATATCTGAGTAGTGAAAAAAATGGATCAGACAATGCAGAGAAGCTCTTTCTTTTTGGTAACTATTTAAACAGTAGTCAGAGAGGGCAGGGCATGGAACGGAGGTGGTAACTCCCTCCCTTGAACACTACCAAGCTTGGCATGCTCTTCAGATCACACAACAAGGTAGCTAACAGGCAGCTCCACCATGCAGATGCTAAGCTGCTTCCAGCCCTAAGAGGGGAATAACTGTATCTGAGAAGAAACCATATCCGCAGGCTGAGCAGTAGTCAAACAAATGTAAGTGTGTATGTGTTTTGGAGGCAGAGGGCAGGGAGAGGCCCAGAGCAACAGTAGGGTAAGAGTGTGAGCTGAGTCAAGACCTTCAGCTGATATATGGAGCCATTAATCAAGACAAGAGCTCTTCCTTATTAAAGAACACGAAATTGCCCACATTTTCTATGATTCAAAGATAAATGAGCAACAGGGCTTTCTGGCTTCACTGCATCTTGCAAAGAAGTCAGAAGCTGTCTCTCCAAGGATGCTGTTGGGTTGAGGGTGCTGAGAGGGCAAAGAAAACCTCAGATCTATCCCGAGTCAGGGGACGGGGGCAGAAAGATCACACTAAACCAAAGCTGTTGTTTTCCTCACCTAGAAGCTGATCGCCTGGCAGGGAGGGAAGCTGGGAGATGGAGGAGATTTACATTCCTGAAGCTGAAGCAAGCAAACAAAGTATGCTATTAAAAAGTCCTACATTCTTCAGCAGGCACTTGTTTCACTGGACTACTATTACTAGCGCTGTGTTTATTCTTGCACAGTGGATAAATTAAGCCAATGTTAAATGCTGTGAGCTCATGAACTCACACGAGAGAGAACATAATTTCATCTAGTTTGCGGGAGAGCAAACTTTATCCAACAAAACATCAATATTTAGTATGATCTGCATAAAACTCACATTCGTTGCAGTCTACCTGTCAGACAGGATTTCGTCCTGCATGCCACTCCCTGGCCGCAGTTGCAATGTTGACATTTTCTAAACATTAAACTTGCCTGAATAGATAAAATTCCAGTGGCCACAACCTTTCACAAGAACTAGCCCTGCTCTAGAGCTGTAACCAGGTTTAAAATGCAGTCCTGTCCCTCAGAAGACATCTCAGCCAGGTTGAAACCCCTCATGCTTTGGTCACACTCTTGGCACCATGCACCATTACTCAAGTCAGGTGTTCAGTCAGTCCCGACCCCAACAGAAACACCCCATGCACACCGGCTCAGCTGAAGTAAAAAATACAGGCTGGAGATTTCCAGCCTGAAATCACTGCTGTATTTCCTTAGCCAAGTTTGTAAGCTGCAAGGCTGAAGCTATAGTGCTAAGAGGCACAAGCATGCTTCACTGAATTTCAGAACATGTCCAATACAAGCGTCCCCATCCAAAAGCTTAGCGGAAGTATAAATAGTCAGAACTTTGCAAGCTTGTCCGAGTCTTAGCTTTCTCCAGGCAACTAGGAAACCAGCACTTGAAGTGCCTGTAGAGCAGATATGTTCCAGGAAGTGCTACTAATCTTCAGAAATTATTTGAGCCTTGTTTAACAAGTATCGGTCTACAGGACTTGTACAACAAGGAACCAACTGCTAAATATTTGCTTCAGTTACTCTGGTGTAAATCCAAACCTGGTCCCCGCCAGATCATTCTGATTTCCAACAGAGTACATAAGATCAGATGCAAACCCTCGATGGATGAAGGCTCAATTTACCATGACAGTCATAAACTTTAATACCACACGCAGTCAGTATATATTCAAAGCTATTTTCTTCCCTGAGCTGGTGACCATCTGCGTGTGTCCACCCTGTGTCTAAGGGAAACAAGGAATACGTATATACTTATAAAAAAGGAAAAGAAAAAGGTTGATGCAGCAAAGGAGGTGACAGAGTTGGCTGAGGCAGGCAGTTCCATGTTTCTTCAACAAATCAGAGCTACTATCTATGTGGGTAGCTGAAGGCTACTACTCCTCCTCCTGGCAAGGGAAATAGCCTGGTGGCACAGAGCACCTACAGAGAACATCTCTGTCAAAAATAGCCTGGCTGCAGCATCTGCCCACTCTGCTGACTCCCAGGTATATGAACTGCAACACATTCACAAATACTATTTGTGCTAGTGGTGCCCACAAAGGCTTCAGAACTGATGCTTCCCTGCTGGCACAATCAGAGAGGGAATTAACTACCTCATTCTACAGGCACCACTTAAACACACCCTTCCCAAGCAACACCAAAGTTTCTTTGGCAGCAACTCACACTTCAGGCTCCAATGAGCTGTTGGTTTCTTTATCTGTCTGGTGTTTGTGTGTTGGATTTGGGGGTTTTGGGGGGGAAAGGAAGGAGGAGTAGTTTTAGAAAGAATAGCGACAGGTAGGGTGCAGTAGGAAAGAAAAACAGCATCCACTAACTAGTGAGCAAACTTCCTTTCTCAACACTGCATGTAAATAAGTCACCAGTCATACCATGCAGCCTCCGAGGTCACTTCTCTACAGCACCAGGCAGCCCAGTGCAGAAATCCTCCTGTTAGCACCAGCCTGAGTCTGCAGGGAGGGCTCATAGCTACCAGCTCAGGAACTGCAAGCACACAGCTGCATCCTGCATCCAGCCCCAAGCTCGCTCACAGAGAGGCTGGGAGCACCCACCAACAGCACAGGCATGTGCTGCAGTTGTGTCACTTCCACCTTCTGCTTGCACTTGATCCTGCTGCACCACAGCAGGGACCTACATATGGCCACCAACAGCCCCGTGGTTAACTCCTGCCAGGCTGGATGAGAAGCTGAGCTCATGAGCTCACAAGATCAGTGCCTAGCTATCTCAGACCACACTACACCTCAGAAACCCAAAATGGGTATCTCCTGCACCTTGCATTCTAACTGTTTGGAGAGGGAGGACCGTGTTAGGTACAGACAGGGATTCAAAGAAGCTTATGTGTTCTTCTGCTGAAGGTCAGGTAAGCTGCCTTCAGATAGGGGAGGACCGAAATCAGAATGGTATCTTGTGGCACTAACCTTCTCTGCAATATCAGATGAAATGTTGCAGGTGTTGCTTGGAGTCTGCACTCTCTTGCACCGCTTGTTTTCACTGTGCAAAGCCCAGGAGTTTGCAAAATCGTAACTGTTTTCCACAAGGGTCCCTGTGAATGAAGAAGAGAAGAAGCGCATGGCAGTTAAGGGGTTTGAGTAACAAGTGGTCATTATTGGCTACTATCAATGTGACTGTCTGCTGAAAGCTGTTTTTAAAAATAAAAGCTGTCGTATCAAATTAATTTCTATTCCAAATAGATTGACTGTAGAAAAACCACTTTCAGCAATCTGGACTGACTCCTGCCAAAGACCTCTCTGAGCTCAAGGACAGACTAAAGCCTGCACAAGGCAGGTCCCAGCATTTCTCACACCTGCATGAGCATGGTAGGAGTTATTTGCTGGTCAGCTATAATCTGCAGAAGCCTAAGCATGCCTACACATCTTCCTACTATTTAAAAGCTGCCAATAAAACATGAGGCATATTAGAGAGGTAAACAAAATGAAGCTGCTCTCCTTAACCAGAGAAAGTATTAGCATTCCTAATCCCAGCTAGCCTTGATTTCCTCCTTCTATCTGAAACTAAATCTTGTGTACAAAGAAACTTAACATACACCATAACTCTTGGGCCTATGATGTTGCTGTGTAAGCTGTCCTGAAATATGCTCCTCTGTCCTATTACAAGCAGCTCCCGGCCCAGGCTTGGCAAGATTTGCATCCACTTTGCATAAAAGCAAAACCGGAGGAGTTAATCTGTAGGGCTGCTGCTTCCTGGGAGATGCAAGCCATGTCTCTGCTTCTCTTGCTCCATCCTTCTGAGAAGGAGGATCTTCCCAGAAAGGGAATGGTCCCTCCTCCTCCTTTTGCCTCCTACAGCCTGGTTGATTTAAGGACTACCTCTGCTTCCTTCTGTGGGTACCCGCTACAAAATACTTAATTTCATGGTGCTCTCAGTTCTTTAACTTTGCTTTTTAAAACCCTACTGTGTTGCATGTGAGAATATCAGTTGTGACTGTTAACACATTCCCAAGACCTTATGTAGACAATATGTTGACATGTGACCCTGACTCTATCTGGAAACCAAAGAAATGCTTCCCAAATACATCTATATAATATTTTTATATTTTATATTTTTACAATATATAATTTTTAATATATATATATTTAATTAAAATTTCATTGAGCTACCTGCTGTACATTAAGTACAAACACACAGAACATACTGAACACTAAAACTGTTCCTAAACTAAAGGATAATCATGATAACTACACTGAGAATGCTAAGGCAGATGTAATAAAGCCAGTAGTCTTTAGTAGACCTTTTTTTGTAAACTAGAAATTAGGGTCTTATAAAAGTAGCATATGTTAGGCCATAGCAGACGTCAAAGGAGGAAGACTCCGAGAAAATGATGACAGGGAAGAGTGGTAAAAGGCATGAAATTTTCATCTATGCAGCCAGAACTCAGCACAGGAAAAGAAAAACAGCAACAAGAACACAACTCTTCAGCTCATCAGAGATTGTAAAGACTAGAGTAATGATGAAATCTAGTCTGATGAGAAGCAAGGTGCCAAATTAAACACATTCCCTTTTATTTGCACTAATGCAGCCTTACACTAACAGTTTTATAATAGGAGATGGGCTCTGCTCTGAATTAGTGTTCCTCTGACTCTGAATGCACGTCCATGTTGAGCTTCCCACTGGCAGGTACCACCAGATCCTCAGTTACCCATAAGTTAAGATTTGAAGGTTGGGACAACTGTTGGCCCTGAAACGCTAGTCACGTGTTTTTTCATTTCTCCCCTTCCATTAGAATTTTTTCTTCTGTGGTGCTTGTAAATTTATACCACTTATGTAGTTCTTTTATGAAACATTTGTATTATACTATTTTAACTCTTCTATGATAAATACTTTCAAGTACAATTTTTTTAAAATAATTTCCAAACGTTGGTGGGGTTGTTCATGGGTTTTTTTGGAACCTGCTTTTCAAACTCTCTTGCTCTCAGCACCTGTCTGTATATTAGCAGACCATTCCACAGGCACAAGCAATTTGGCAACAACTTTCCAGGCAGTTCTTCAACCTTGCCAAGTCCTGGAGCCCTTAAACCAAGTTACAAGCTGTTTGGAACAGGCAATACTTGATCAATTTCGGTTTGCGCAATAGCTCAAAGTTTTCTCCCAGGTAAGCCTCCTCAACATACGACAGTAAAAATCTAGGATAATAATGAATTACCAGAGATCAGTTGACTTTATTTTTCCTTTCATTTGTCCAGTGTAGCCTTAAGTGACCTATAGCAACAGATAAAGGGCTGGAGAGGCACTATGAACTTAAAATGAGAGTGCTGCAAAACTTTGCATGCGTGTTTGCCAGTCTGCTTTTCCCCAGGAGCTTTGTCCTCAATGCTAAACAACACAGTCACTAAAGATGCACAGTATTCAACTGAATACCATTAGTTATTACTTCCAATAACATAGATCCAATAGAACCTGTATTTTCAGAGTACTTGTATTTTTGTTGAACGAGCAGCTTTATAAACACACAGTTAAGATGCAATCCATACTCCTGGAAAGGTGAAAACCAGCTGGACATGCAGATTTCACTGACCATCAGAAGAGCTTTAAAATGAAACTATGAAGTGACTCTGGAGCCACTGAGCTGCTTAACAAATTGGGGTCATGCGGATAAGTTTTTTCTGCAGAAGGTAACTTTGAAGAGGACTCTTCAACTCATACTCTGCACTACATGCCTTGTCGATCACCATGGTGATTCTCAAATATTTCCATCTACTTGATGAGGTTCAGGAAAAAAAGAGGGGAGGGAGAATTTTCCCCAGCATGTCTGACTGCTCTGAGCAGAGGAAAGAGCAGCCACCACCACTGCTGCCTTTTACCCAACACTCCATTTCCTTCTGCTGAAGGACTCAAGGTTGTAGGAAAGGAAAGGTGGTGGAAGGGATAACACAACAAAAACAACCTAAAAAAGCCTGGGGTTTCTTAAGTGCGCGGGTGATACTATTAACAGAGAAGCTGGGCAGCTCAGCTGCCTACTCTGGCACTGCACACCTACCATGCAGCGCGACTGCCCTCCTCTCCTATACAGCAGTGTTATGTTTTCCTTCTGTTCATTCCATGTTCGGTTTTTCTTCTTTCTCTAAGCAGCCAAGATTCTGGAGAAAGAACTCCTAGCCAGGGGTCATCAGAGCCCCACATCCAGAAACCCTCCATACAGCCTGGGTGGGATTTTTGCTAAAGAACTTGTTTCGTTTGTCTTGCAGGAAGTGTGTTGAAAATAGATGCTGTCAAAAAATGTAATGAAAACATTTGGACACAAGACAAGTGCTTAAAGTACCAGGGCCTGATGTGGACCACAGTACAGACTGATACTGGCATGCCAGCTGGCTGCTCAACAAGCAGCTAGTTAGCATCCAGTCTCCTTTTAGGATTCAAGATGGTTTCAGGAGGTAGCTGTTAAAGCACAACCCAAATCTCACCTTCTCCCTACATCCCAGAAACATCCCACCACTTTGATGACCCTGCTAAGGTCTTCCAGGAGAGGGCTACACACCAATCAACTGAGCAGCATGTAGGGCTTCCAAGGGCATACTGTTGGACTATGACTTTAGTGCTCTGATTCCTGCCCTCATGTCTGTCTCTTTGCAGAGAAACAAAACCAAACCAACCAAAACCACACACTACAATGACATGTTTTGGGCAAGACTTTCCCCCCCACCCCCTTTTTTTTTTGGTCAAAACAGTTGCTTTCACTTATATGAGTTTCAGATAGACGATGTTCACTCTTGACAGAAAAATCAGTGTTCACTGTGATAGCTGGGTCTCAAAATCACCAGTTCCTTTTGAAATCTGAAACCCGTATGCTGCTTATTTACTTTGAGACTGACGGTCAGGCAAGGAAAAGCGTTAGCAATAACCACCTCGCACTGACGGCACACCAGGCAGGAACCCTAACCTCGCTCCCTGGACCTCCTGCAGATTTTTCATATGGCCACAGGCCCACCAGGCTTACTCTCCCAGGGTCTGTTAATTAATCTGTAAAATATACGCAAGAATTTTTTCAAGACACTACAATACTGTGAGTAGAGATGTGTAAACATTCACATGTTAGTTATACCAAGCAATGGGGGTTTTTTGTTTCTTAGAGTTTGGGGTTTTTTCCTGGTTTTACATGGTTTAGTACATGGTTCCAGACAAGCAAAACTATTGGCAAGGTTGACCAAAAATTGATCCATAATTTGGACCAAATCAATGATATAAAATATTGAAGTCCTGGGCAATAAAGTCTTTCCTGCCCTCTCTG